TTAATTTAAAGAGTCATTAATTGATAAATTTAACACGTAATGTGACTTCTAGATGGACTTCAAACTTTAAAGACTAATCAAATTCTAATTTATTTGCTATTTGTTTGATAGAATTTATAAATATTTTTTTTCCCCATTAATTTATCAAAAATATATAGGCTATTTTGCATATGAATTGTATTTATGATGAATTTTTTTTTTGGTAAACACGGACTCTTTAATATCTTATAGTTTGTTTGATAAATTTTTTAGAAGATTAAAAGTGTTTATTTATCTTTAAATTTTTTAAAAATAAAGTATTTGGTCAAGTTTTTGAAGGAAAATGATTGTTTTTATGGAGTAGCATAAGCTTAAAAAATAGTTTTTCTCATAAACTATTTTAAGAAAGTTAACTTAGAAACAATTTTTAAAAGCTCGGTGAAACACTACCAACCACACAAAACTTATTTTCAAAATTAATTGATGAAAAATAATTTTTTGAGAAAAAGGTCTGAAAAATATTTTAATTTTGGCCAAAATTGTTGTTACGATATCAAACTTTATGGAGGACCTTTTACCCCCTGCACTATTTAATAGTGTATTTTAAAGATATATACGTGTCCACATGGACACATTACTATTTATAATGATGCAATATTTATGATGTTTGTGGGCACATATATACTTTTAAAATACATTATTAAATAGTGTAGGGGGTAAAAAGTCATTTCCAAAGTTTGGTATTATTACAATAATTTCGGTCAAAATTCGGATATATTTCATACCTTTTTCCCTAATTTTTTTTCTCATCAAAAGTACTTTATTTTAAAAAAACAACAATAATAACTTATTCAGGTAGTTCCACAAGTGACGTTTAAATAGAGTAGAACGTACACAATTTTATCTCTACCTTCATAATATACAAAAATGTTGTTTTCAATAAATTCTTGACTCAATATTTTTTAAAATAAAAAATAAAAAAATTTAGAAATAAAATTGAATTTCGAAAATTAACCAAACGCCAAACATTTTTTAGTATTTCATCAAAGAATAAAAACTTCATATCTTTTTCTTCGTAAATTGATTAATTTACTTTTTCTTTGACCGCGGTTAGTATATTTTTAATATTATTTTCTTCTTATAGCCCTGTTTAATATTATATTTTGCTATCTAAAAATAACAATTGTTTCACTACACATATTTTTTATTTGAAATATTTAGGAGTTATACAATAGAATTAAAGTACCATTATAGTGCTTATCGCCAAGAGTTCTAATAAATTTGTAAAATATCGATTTTATATTTTAAGACTTTTTGTATATGTCTCTTTTATATAATTTTTTTCTCATTGTAGCTAAATGAACTCATATCTTTAATGTAAATTATTTAATATTTTAAATTAGTTAACCTGACTAATATATTTAAGTATTGGATATATAATTAAGAGAGTGAATCATCTTCTATTTCATAGATAAAGTTGATATCTCCAAGGCAAATATGAAAATTTTAATTTAGACGTCTGGACAAATATTTGCACTAATGTTATATCGAATTATATTAGTAAAATTGTATTACTCATAAAAAAAAATTAGCTTTAGAAAAGTGTGCAGGAGAATTTTCAACTATAATTAATTTATTTTCTTTCAATAGAAGTATGTGGTTGGTAAGCAATCTCTGAGGAAAGTAGACAAGTCATTCTGTGCTTCCAAATTGTTTGAAGGTCATGTCAAGCTCAGGATCTACCAACATAATATATAAAAATAATTTAAGAAAATCCAACATAAAATATTAATAATATAAGAATTAATTATGAGAAATTTATGTATAATATATAGATTCTTTTGTTATTTTGTACATGTATTAGTTATGTGAGTTTTTGAATTGCTACTATATTGTAATCGGTGTATTATATATTATACATTGTAAATAAAAGGTACCAAATATAATATTACTTATACAAAATTTAATACATATATAATTAAATAAAAGTAACTTCTAATCAGCTACCTAACGACCCATTTTAAGGCTTAATCACACATTTCTTATTATATTGGAGATCTGCATACCTCTAAAGCTCTGTATTCTTTATATGAATATATCTTTTACTTTGTGATTTTTAGATAATATATTACTCGTTATAAATCAATTATGATAACCTTTTTCCCTTCTTTAATAAAACAAATCAAATATATTATTAAAACATCAAGCAAATCCTAACACCTTAAAGTCCAACATCCATATGACATAGAGGAACTTTCAAAAATAATGATGTTTTGAACTTTAATTATCAATCACAATGGAAGTTTTGCAAATTATCAAATATAGTAATAATTTACTTAATAGAATTTGTGATACAGTGTATCGATTAGCTTTATATTTGTGATAAATCAAATCAAATCGATTGATGATACATAAATAACTAACACATACATAAAAAAATAATATATAAATTCATTAATAACTAATCCCTATATTATTAATACCTACGTGACTTTAAGTCTTTAACCAGCTACTAGCAACCCCTAATTGTTTGTGTACACATTGCATAGAGAAAAGAGTGATTCAAGACAAAAGATAAACAATGAATGATTCCTTGTAGACTTAAAACATTGCTATAGTCTTTGCCTTTGGAATATTAGTTGGTGATAAAAGTCCAAAGGGTCAACGTCGTACGTGGAAATTTTAGTATACTCTTCTAGGGTATTTACAAAATTAGAAAAATCAAATAATTCCAATCTCTCCGGGTCCTCTAAGGCGGTCTTAAATTTTTTACTCGTGTCCCTTTTTAAACTTGACGAACAAGATTTATTTAGTTAACTAAAAACTTCAAATGGGCTCGTTTGGTCGGAGAACAAATTATTTCAGAATCAGTTATTTCAGGACTGTTATCTCACCTTCAATGTAAAATAAAAATAATATTTACAATCCCAAGATAACTATTTCCTAAATAAGTTATCCTGTGATTTATCTTAATACATATGAGATAAATTCATCCTAAAATTAATTATGATATTAGTTATTTCTTATCCTTCGTACCAAACAATCGTTTAGGTCTTTCTACTTATATATATATGGAAAGCTTTAGTTACTCAATAACCTATGACATATTCTCCAAAACCATGCAGCATAAGAAAATTGTTATGTTTTTTTCTTTTTTCATGTGTTTGCTTTTAATCTTGAGATCAGTCAACGCCCAAAACACCAACAACAATACAGATAATTCTACTACAATCACAAAAGCTGCTATCATCACAAAACCAGGATGTCCAAAACAATGTGGAAACCTTATAGTTCCATATCCATTTGGAATTGGTTCTAATTGTGCCTTAGACCCCGTGTTTGAGATCGAATGCAACGTCACAACACCCTTCATAGGTAATAAGTTTCAAGTCTACCACATCTCCGACTCAGAAATGCGCATATCTAACCCCGTGTTTGGTTTGTTGCTTCCTACCTAATTTTGTGTGGGGTTTAAAAGTCTACAAAAAAAACTTCTTTCCAATTATACCCTTGAGTTATTATGAGATTTTTTATTTCATGTAATTGAGTCAAGGTAGATAATTGACGAACAATTTTTTTTTTATAGCCTTTAATTATCACCATGTTCACTATTTTATCACTTAAATTATTTAAGGGTAAAAAATTGTCATCTTAATAAATTGAAGTTAATATCTCAAAAGGTCACACAACTATAAGAATTTATAGAAAAAAGGTATTGAACATTGTATTACATCAATAAAATCATTCAACTTAGGACTTTTATCATACAAAATCATTTTTATCATAAAATAAAAAAATAGCAAAATAAATTAAACTATTTTTTATACTCAAGATGTTTTTAAATAGCAAAAATAGCTCTTAAATTCGTGCATCAACATTAGGAAATTAGTACGATTATAATATTTAATATTAATAATAATTAGATTAAATAACTCATATTTTAGCTACAAATAACTCTATTTAAATAATAAAGTTTGTAAGCTAATAGATTTAAATACATTTATTAGTACAAATATAAAACATAAAACCAAGAAAATAAACAAAATGAAAGGATTTGAGTGGGTATTTTTGTCTTTACATATATTAATCCCATGGTATTAGATTCATGTATTACTAATACCACCAAATGAAAGGTATTAGTTAGACACCCTATAATACCATGGAGGGTGTATAACTAATCCATGGATTATTTATACATGGGCCCAAAATTCCTACCAAACATAGTACTACATAATACTACACATAATACAAGGACTATTTCTCCTAACACTCCCTACCAAACGACCCCTTAAGAACCTTATTCCTCCTAATTTCTTTTTTTGTTGCACTTGTATAGTTCTTTTCATGTTAGTTATTACTGTTTCTATTTTATGAGTGTTCTGTAAAATTACATTATTGCCTTGTCGCGTCAAATTATTGGAGAAGTCGTACATTTATTTTATAAGTAATTTCTTATTGGTTAAATCGAAAATCAAATCTTTAAGAACCAAAATCAATTAAAAAATATCTTATTGATTTGGTTACTAGTTTAGCATATTTAAAAATTGAAAATCAATAAATCAAACCGAATAGATCGACGATACATAAATAACTAACACATACATAAAATAATATATATAAATTCATTAATAAGTAATTCCTATATTATTAATACTACGTAACTTTGACCAGCTACCCAACGACCCCTAATTGCTTGTGTACTTATTGCATAGAGAAAAGAGTGATTCAAGACAAAAGATAAACAATCAATGATTCCGTGTAGACTTAAAACATTGCTATAGTCTTTGCCTTTGGAATATTAGTTGGTGATAAAAGTCCAAAGGGTCAACGTCGTACGTGGAAATTTTAGTATAGTCCCTCTTCTCGGGTATTTACAAAATTAGAAAAATCAAATAACTCCAATCTCTCCGGTTCCTTATCCTTAGTACCAAAAAATCGTTTAGGTCTTTCTACTTATATATATATATATATATGGAAAGCTTTAGTTACTCAATAACCTATGACACATATTCTCCAAAACCATGCAGGATAAGAAAATTGTTATGTTTTTTTCTTTTTTCATGTGTATGCTTTTAATCTTGAGATCAGCCAACGCACAAAGCACCAACAGCAATACAAATCCTACTACAATCACAAAAGCTGCTATCATCACAAAACCAGGATGTCAAAAACAATGTGGAAACCTTATAGTTCCATATCCATTTGGAATTGGTTCTGATTGTGCCTTAGACCCCGTGTTTGAGATCGAATGTAACGTCACAACACCCTTCATAGGTAATAACTTTCAAGTCTACGACATCTCTGACTCAGAAATGCGCATATCTAACTCTGTAGGCTGGAGTTGTTACTCATCCGATGGAACACTTTTACTCCCAGATAATCCTGCATCGTTGAATTTAGGAGAAACACACCCTTATAGTTTCTCCGACCTTAACAAATTCACCGTCGTTGGTTGTGATGACTTTTCTGTTATAGGTGCACTTAACTTCGCTAGTGCTTGTATCTCTTACTGTCGTAATTCTAGTGATGCGGTTATTGAAGGAACATGTAATCATGGAGATGGTTGTTGTCAAGTAGAAATACGAAAGGGCATGAGATCCTTCGAAACAATGATGAGAACCATTAACAATCACACAGGTGTTTGGTCTTTTAATCAATGTGGCTATGCGTTCCTTGGTGAGGCTAGTCGTTTTAAATTTCAGGGATTGATGGATCTAAATGATACGAATTTTGTAGAGAGGATTAACCATAATGTCCCTATCGTGCTAGATTGGACCATCGGAAATCTTACTTGTGTTCAAGCAGAGAAACGCATAGATTATGCTTGCCTCGATAATAGCCACTGTGTTAATTCCACTGACAGTATTGGTGAATATCGGTGCAGGTGTAACCTGGGATATGAAGGCAATCCATACATAGGTCCGGGCTGCCAAGGTAATTGAGTTGATATCCTAATTACTTTTATTACTAGCTAGAAAGTGATTTTTTTTTTTTTTTTTTTTTATTAAAGAGAAACAAAGTATAAGAAGAAGTGATTTAATAGGTTAAGTTGGGTGGTAGGAGAGAAACTGAAATTCCTAGGTCATTAAAATTAAAAGTTTTTTAAAGACAAGAATTCTCATTAGTCAATTCAAGTTACATATCAATCCAATTTTTAATGGATTGAAATGAGTTGAAGTAATGAATGAGCGGATCGATGACCCGCCCAAACCTAAACGAATTGGACGAGTTGAATTTGATTTTACCACCTCTACATACGACAATAGGGTTTTCCCTATTTCTTACTCCACTATCACTAGAAATAAAAAAGTAGTACCTTTTCTGCCTGATTGAAGTGTGGACCTAACACATTGGACGTGAATTTATTCAATGGACCAATCGAGTCAGATTTGAGCTGATGTAAAATGAATTAAATGAGAATGAATAATATATTTGAATCAAGCAGTAATTGATAAGGATAAAAATGGGTAAACTCCTTACTATTTTTCCCTTTTAGGGTATGTTTGGTATGAAAGAAAATATTTTCATATTTTTCTGAAAAACATTTTTCTGATGTAAAAGAAGTTTTGAGAAATATTTTTTCACTTTAGGTATGAAAGTCATTTTTCTTAAAATTAGAGGAATATAAGTCCATTTTTAAAAACACTTAAATCAATCAAAATGAGAAAATTGAAAGAAAAAAAAATAAAAAACATTTTCTTCATAAACACACACTTAATTAAAATGCATGTTACTAGTACCTAGCTAATACCATGGATTTCTAGGTATTAGCAATGCAATGGTTTTAATGCATGCATTAATATGATAAAAGACTCAATTGCCTCTCAAAACCTTTTTTACATCTTTTCCACCGTAAAAAGTGAAGGGTGTTTTTGTAAATAATTTGTTTAATGCAATACATACTATTTTTAATGCATCAAATCAAACAACACATTAAAATAATCTATGTATAATTAATACAAGCATAACTAATACAAACACTACTATTCTTATACACTCTACTAAACGAGCAGTGCAATTGGTGGATGCCCATGACTATGAGTATCTGTTTTATATATTTTATAAGAGCTAATATACGTGTTCATCCATATTTGACCACTTTAAATGATTGGATAGTCAACCATTAAGAATACATTGGGTCGAGCGGATAACCATAAAATTTACCCATTTTGTCACCCCTATTCATCACTAACGCATTGATCATTCACTCTCTCCAAAATTAGTACTCCCTCCGTCTCATTTTAAATTTTCCCTTTTAGCTCTTTTCATGCTCATTATGAATAATAATATATATAAGGTATACTTTATTAAATTATTTATATTTGTTAGATATTTTTTGAAAATTGAGTTTATTAAAAAGAAAATACTTTTGAATGCAAATTAAAGGGTATAGTTGGGTCTATTGTCAAGTTTAACCTTGAATTCCTAAAATGTCAATTGTTTTTAGATTACTCCCTCTGTCCGATAGTATTCATAGTTTGACCATGATCTTTAAGAAATTACTCACCTTTATAAAGTAAGAAATGTTTTCACTAAATTACCATTAGTTTATTATTAGTATCAATTTAATGTAGTATTTTTTGGCTATGTAAAAGCTCATCGATCTAAATAAAGATAAATTTGAAAAGAAGAAAAAATAATTTTTTTTATTATTTATGGAACTATTTACTTTAGATTGAATGCAAAGCTAAAAACACTATAATTGAATGTGAATCTAAAAACACAACTTCCTCCGTCCCAGTCCCAGTTTATATCACTCACTTTCTTTTTTAGTCAGTCTAAAAAAGAACGACATAATTCTACATTTAGTAAGAATTTAACTTTAAAATGTTCATTTTACACTTATTTTAAATCACAAGTTTCAAAAATTATCATTTTTTTTCTTAAACTTCGTGTTGAGTTAAACTAAGTCATATAGATTGAAACGGTGAAAATATTTCTCAAAGATAACTTTAAGACATGAAAGTCATCTTAGATCATTTTTCAAAAGAGCTCTAACTTTGATTAGGCAAAGAAACAACTTCAGTGAAAAACATGTTACTCAGTGAGTTCACCCCAATTAGCTAACTTGTTAGCTAGTGAACCTATGTAAAAAGATAAGATATAAAGGCAAAGCGCGAGGGATTAATGTGGTATATTTCTCTGTTTTGCATGTTAGATATTGATGAATGTCTTCATTCGAGTACCAATATGTGTGAACACAAATGCACAAACACGCCAGGGAATTACAGTTGTTCTTGTCCAGAAGGATTCAGTGGTGATGGTCGTGGTTGTATTGCACCAAACTCGAACTATGAGTTCCCATGGATCAAGTTTTCTATTGGTAAGTTTCTCAAAAATTGAACTTGTTTATTAAAATGATTAAAGGAATTCATCTCCTTTAAATTTTGTTGTTATAAACACAGGTATGGGAGTCGTCTTTATATCCCTCGTGGTTGGGACAATTTTTCTCTATTTTTGTATCAAGAAACGAAAACTCATTAAAAGTAGGGAGAAATTCTTCCAACAAAACGGTGGTTTACTCTTGAAACAACAAATCTCCTCTAAAAAGGGTGGCATCGAAGCAACCAAAATTTTTACAGCTGACGAGTTGAAGAAGGCTACGAATAACTATGCCAGTGATAGAATTCTTGGTCGTGGTGGAAATGGAATTGTCTATAAAGGTATTCTACCTGATAATCGCATAGTTGCAATTAAAAAATCTAAGTTTGTGGATGAGAATCAAGTTGAACAGTTCATCAATGAGGTACTTATTCTTACTCAAGTTAACCATAGAAATGTAGTGAGACTCTTCGGGTGTTGTTTGGAAGATGAAGTGCCTTTACTGGTTTATGAATACGTTTCTCATGGAACTCTTTACGAGCATATCCACAACCAAAATGGAGTCCCATGGTTATCTTTGCAAAATCGATTGAGAATTGCTTCAGAGACAGCAAGTTCACTTGCTTACCTTCATTCATCTGCATCCATGCCAATAATTCATAGAGACGTCAAATCCACTAATATATTATTGGATGATGTTTACACAGCAAAAGTGGCGGATTTTGGAGCTTCAAGATTAGTCCCTCTTGACCAAACACATGTTGCTACATTGGTTCAAGGAACATTAGGGTACTTAGATCCTGAATATTTCCACACAGGTGAATTGACAAATAAAAGTGACGTTTATAGTTTTGGAGTAGTTCTTGCCGAACTTTTAACAGGATTGAAACCTATTTTGAGGGATACAAGTGACAAGTACAAATGTTTGGTGGAGCATTTTATCTCGTCGATGAACAAGAATAACATATTTGAAATTCTTGATGATAGAGTTGTAAGAGAAGGAGGTGTTGAGCAACTTCAAAAGATTGTTGAGCTCATTAAGAGTTGCCTTCAGTTGCACGGGGAAGATAGGCCTACGATGAAGGAAGTGGCTATGGAACTTGAGAGTTTAAGAAAGTTCACTAGCCCTTGGACTAATGAACACGTACATGAAGATCATAATGAAGTTGAATTAAACGATCTGTTTATAATTCCAATTGATTCTAATACAGGTATCGACAACTTCTCTGGACAATATCCCAGCTCCTACACAAATAATAGCCTCTTCTTGGGACAATATAGTTCAGATAAATCTTCATTACTACTCAATACAAATATCCCGCGGTGATCCAAAATAAAATGTCAATATGATAATTAGTGATGATATAATTTTCTATGTTTTGTAAGTTTCTTTTCTGGCTATCTTTCTTTCATATTGAATGTATGTTGTTATGTATTTTATTTGCTTTTGAATTTAATCATCAATATATTGTTCATTGTATTAGTGACAAGAGTTGAAGTTAGTAGCTAGATGTTTGTTGTGATTCTAAATTGTCACATAATTCCTATAAGATTATTCCTTAGTTGACAAGTTGAAACCAACACACTTGGTTCATATCCAATGCTCAAACCAAAAATAAAAAATGGTTATTTAACTTTCAGTTTAGGGTTAAGTTTATTTTTCATGTGCTTTAATTTGTTCTACTATGAAATATTGGGTTCTTCGTCAAGATGTATTGTTACAAATATTTTTGTGCAACAAGCCTTCTTAACCAAATTGCTTGACAAGTTGTAGAAGTTGCTACACCACTACACCATATATGTTAAGCCTATGAAGTTGATAAGGCCACCACTTCCTGCCTCTTTGAAATTGCTCCAAATCCAAAAGCAAACAAGAAACCAAGCGTCTCTTTTTGTCATCAATGTTGCATGCGTAGTCACTATTAGTAAAACCAGTTAATGTGAAATTTATTATTTTAGAATATCAAATTAAATTTCAAGCTCCGTTGTCCCAACGATATATTTCAGTATTCTCTTTGCAGCTCCAAGGTGAAGCTCTTTTAAATTGTGCATAAATCTAGATACGGCGTCAACTGAGAAAGAAATGTATGATCTTGTATGATACAAGTAGTTCAAACCACTAACCATACTTCTAAACTAAGTTGTATTTAACCATCATCACGACACAACTTCTCATTAATATTCATCGGAGTAGAATCAGTTTTATAATTAACCATATTAATTTTTTTTCAAAAGATTTGTTGCATAGTTTCTTTGTGAAAAAAATATGCCATCACCTCCCTGTTTCACCTCAAGACAAAAGGAAATAATGTAGCGACTAGAATCATACATTTCAAAATTCTTTATCATGCAGCCTTTAAATTCAATGACGATAGATTCACTCAAACCCATATTTTATCATATTGTCAACGTAAAGACATACCCGCAAAAAAATCATTTTAACTTCTCGTTTTACATCATCAAGATTAGGTTCATTCTTACTTCTTTCAAAATCATCTTCGTGGAAATAAGAGTCAATCTTGAAGTATCATGCCTACAAGGCTTTATTTAAGCCATAGAGTGCCTTTTTAACTTGTAAATCTTATCTTCTTTGATATGAACTACAAAACCTTCAGGCTGTGATACATAAACTTTCTCTTCCAAATCACCATTTCAAAACGACAAATTTAATATCAAATTGGTACACTGGTCAATTTAAATTAGCAGGCAAGGCTAATAAAGGTTTCACAGTTTCAAAGCTAGCAAAAGGAGAAAAAGTTTCATTGAAGTTGATATATACCTTGTTGTTGGGAATAAACTTTTGCGGTGAGCCTTTGCCTTGTGTTTTTGGATGTTGCCATCTGCATGATACTTTGTTCTGAGCACCCATTTGAACCCAATATCTTTCTTTCCTTCTAGAAAATTAACCAGTCATCTTTCATAGCTTTGCATCATTTATCCTCTTTCTTAGAAATTTCAAAGAAAATAGAATCCGAAACAAGTAAAGCAAAAGTACATATTATCAACATATTTGGAATTTGATTTTTTATCCTTTGTTAATCTTCTTAATAGAATTGGCTCAGTTGAAAATTCTTTCAGTAGTGGAAACGTTTCTGGTGCATGAATTGATGGACCTTTCAGAAAAGGATCTGTTATATATATGCTCTTGATTAATAATAGCATCATAAGGCAATAACTGAATAGTTGAACTTTCACTCTCAGGAATAAAGTTCCAGCTTTCGTTTTCATTAAACACAATATTTTTACTGGCTATAATTTTGTCATTCACTGGATTGTATAGCTTATAAATCTTGAATTGTGTGATATATTCAATAAAGATCCATTTTTCATCAAGCTTATGTCGACCTTGTAAATTTATCAAAGCATAAATTACACACATATAAGTAGTTTATCTTGGAACTTGTTAATTGTTATACCTCTCCAAGCTTCATTTGGTTTTTGGTTTAAAACTGTTTTGGTGGGCAAAATATTCAGCAAATAGACACCAGTAGAAACAACTTCATCGCAAAAACACTCCAGTACATCTCCAAGTTCCATCATTCTTTTGCTCTTCTTGACAACTATGTGATTATTTCGTTTGGCTATACCTTTTTGTTATGATGTATGAGGTTGTGGGCCTAAAGAATGGTTTCAATTTGTTCTAAGGTGTAGAAAATCCATGTTTATGAGGATTTTAGGGTGTAGACCTTGAGCTAATCTTAAGAATGTTTATTCTTGATATATTTATCATAATTCACTAGTATAACCATGGAATTTATAGTTCTAGGTGAATTATTAGTGGAAAACCCTAGAATTGGTGGAAAAATCATGAGGTTGACCTAGGAGTTGAGATTTAAGTCATTATATGCAAACCCTAGGATTTGCATATAATTAATCTTGATATATTTAAGTCATTTGTGATTGATTTTGCATTATACTATTATTTTAGACCAAGAATAAGTTGAAGTTTCACACAAGGAGTCAAGGTTCGCGATCAGACTTCTACAACAGTTTCTTGGCGCCCAGGTAGGCTAGGTTTTATTAATTAAGTAGTTAGACATGTTTTCTACTGCATGGTATGTAGATTGATGGGAGGTTTTATGCTTAGGCCTTCGGGTATGGAGTCTGGATAATTAAATATTGTTGTTTATTGTTGTTAGGGCGGAAAAAGATAATGACTATGGGTAGTTCTTTAGTTCTTGATTGTTAATCTTGAGTTTCCTTTATTGGGATGCTTTGATGTTAGTTGTAAGGTTATGTGTTTATAAAATTGTTGGGTTATAGCCATTTCTGGAACTTGTGGTAATCAAGAGGAACTAAATAAACGAAAATAGTATGGATTCATGATACTAGGGAGGTATGTCCCGGGGAATGAATATGTGTACTCATAATGGGACTTAGTATTGAGCCATTGATACATAGGTGATATTTTGTGTTGTCCAACACACACACATGCACGTGCACTCACACACACACATATATGCATGTTTACTGCCTAGTAGTATTATTTGTGCAATGCATGGGATGGGAGAGAGACATATGCAATGACATCATGTAGTTAATCTCATGTATTAGACTTGTGATTCTGACTTGTGGTTTTCAAGTGGTTTTGCTCATTTTGCTATGTGATTATGCATGATTGTTTGTGACTATTGGTTGGATCAAGTACCACGCTGGTACAAGATATATAGTTTGGCTTGGATACCACACTTGGTATGATTATATATGGTTAGCTTGGATACCACACCTAATATGATTATATACGATTGACTTGGATATTATACATGATATAAATATAGATGGTTAGTTCAGATACCACGCCTGTTATGATTATATATAGTTGGCTTGGATACCATACATAATATGACATTTAAAGCTTTGGTTTGAGTTTCATGAGAAGACCATGTATGCGATTGAGGTTCACTACTAGAAATTTGACCTACTGCCACACATTTTTGGCGACACATTTACAACTGTTGCAATATATTATCTATTGCAACGGTTATGACTGTCGCAATATATCAAGGGATCAAATAGAACAATAATTAAAAATAACCGTGGCATCATTCTTACAATCGTTGGTATAGATTTTCTAAGGCAACACACTTTACAAACGTCGCACTAAAAGACTCTGTGGCAACGGTTATTTTAGTGAAAAAAATTATTTAACTTGACCCGTGAATTTTATTCCCCAAAAATATATTTCCCTCCACTACTAGACTTTAGCTAAAGTGCCATTTATTTCATTTAGGGTTAAAATTTTGGTCTTCTTCTTCCAAAAGGCCGATTTCTGAAAAATGGAAAGAATAACGTGAGCTCCGGTTAGTGGCGTTACATTTCTTCAACAAGCTCCAGTCTTCTTCTTCTTCATAGTGAGGTAGTCTTCTTCTTCGGTTTGACAAGTCTTCTTCTTCATCTCCATTGGTCTTATTCTCCAACAGTAATCTTCTTCGACCGCAAGCTTTTGCATATAAAGGTATACTATTTTTAAGTTTCCTCTGTCTACTCCATTATTTCTAAGTTCCCATTGTCTCTAATTTGTTATGCATATAATATTTTGTATAATCTGAAACTCCATTGAAGGGTTTCTCAAAAGTCTTAAAGAATAACAAGTGGGTTTGTTTGCAATTTATGTTATTTGTTCCAATTTAGGTCAGCGATGTAATCTATTTGTGGTTTTGAGTTTGTATTTCTAATTTGTTGAAGATTTCTAAACTCTCTGTGAAAGTTCATTAAGAAGCTTTGTTTCAATTTTATTAGTATCATCTTGAAATATTGATTTTTCTCGTCCAAAATACAAAGATTCAACCTCTTAAACAGGGGTTATTTTCAGTTTTTTCTCAGATTGGAGACTCTTTTGCCTTTCGAAGCTCATCGAAATCGGCTCATGGTCGTGGAAGCTTGTGGCTAGCTCGTGCTCAGTGTCGCTACTCCAAAGAAGGTAAATTCCTTTTCGTTGGATTTCGTTTTCAGTTTTTGGAATTATAGTTTAAACTCTGAATACTCTTTTATATGTTCTAGTTCCTTAGTTGAAATTTTGATTAATTGATCGATTTATGTGACTCAATATGTTAGTATGCTACAATCTTACTGATTTAGTTTGCTTTCTTTACTAGTTGATGCCTTTTCTAGTTCTCATTTCTGTTCCTTAAGGTGATTTGTGTTCCTGTTTGAATTTCCTTCAATATTAAGTGTGTTTCTTATAATCTTATAAAAAAAAAGTGTGTTTCTTATATTAATGTGTCTAAATGTGTTTATGTTTTGAATCATATACTCCTTATTTGATTATTGCAGATGTTGGTCTTGTTCTCTATAATGTTACGGTTCGTATGTCAATGGATATAAACATCCATTATGACTAGTTACTATTTTAAAAGACCGGATATTTTGACTTTTTTCTGAATTAGTTTTCGAATTTGGCCTTCATTTTAATATCCAAGTTAATCTTGTTTTTAAGTTCAGACTGTACATTTTTCTCATTTGTGAAAGCCAGATCTTGTTTAAGGCTAGAGGACTTTTGATTTTAACTCTTTTAGTGTAATCAAGATTCTGTTTAAAAATCGTTTAAGCTATAACATGGGCTGGTATTTTCTGTGTCTTTGTTTGTTGTGAATAGAGTCAGCACTTCGTCTAAATCCGTTTTTGATATCTTTCGCATGTGCGAGTTCGGGGCTTATTATAAGTAGAATTTAAAGTTTATTCTCTTGTCAATTGAATTTGTTGGCCTGGTTACATGTTTCCAGCAGTGTGAGTTATGTTCTTTGTCAACAAGCATTCTGGGTTGTTTCTGCTTAAGGTCATTTATTTAAGTGTCATTGCTTCTGATTGAATTTTTGAAGGATTGGTTTAATATGTATTTGGTTAGAGTTCAGTCGTTTGTGCTTACCAAATTATGAAATCTGATAGTTTATTAATCTTGTTATTATTTTCTCTCGAATTGGTCAGTCCTACACTTCTTACATACTAGACGATTAACTGTATAACATTAGTTTGATTTCATTTCTTATTCCATATTGTGGCGGCCCTATACCTTATATAAAGTCCTTGGAAATTGCATATACAGATTTCTAAAGTTTTGAATTTGCTAAACTCTTCTTTGTTTAGCTTCTGATGGCTTTTCTCTTAAAAATGACATTTTATATTTAGGGATCTTTTGAGAATTTGATGTTGAACCTTAGAGTTTCAGATCTATTTTTTTGGTAAACTGATTAGGAAATGCTAACTTGCACTTGCAAGTCCTCATGATGTATTAATATTTAGCTTGTAGATTCTGATTTACCTTATTCAGCTACAAGTGACTCATATCATTTGGTTGTCCATTTACATGCATTAAAAACTCTTTACCTGTAAATTTTGTTGTATAAAGATAATGGACTGAGTTTTGTAGTTGATGTAAGATCAGCTTATGAAAATGAAATCAAGGACGAGCTCTTGAAATTAAGCATTAGGTAAGGTTATGTACAAGCATTGACAAAAAAAATGCTAGGTCTGGACCGTACAAATAGCCTTATTTGATTTACTAAATGCAAAAAAATATTGATTCCCATGTTCCATTAAATTTTCAGCATGTTACCCACTGTGAATTTGTTAAGAAATGACTGATGAACTTGCTCTAATTTTAAGAAAATCAATCAGCATTCTGGTTTTTCAGCAAAATACTAGAAAACTTGCATTCATGAATCATTTAACTACACTAAATATCTATTGTTTATGTTTCCTGTAGAAAATTCTTTCACTAAGGCTAACACTAAGTTATTCAAGATGAAAAAGTCAGATTGTGTGCTAGTTGAAACTATCTGATCTCATATTCTGGAATCTTTCTCATTTACTGGTGCTAGGTGCTTGATTTACTTCAAAGTAGCATTAGATGTAGCTAAAGGCTTGCATTTCTTCTTCTGCTAGTCCATCACTTGCTGACATTATTAGAAGCATTAGATGTACTACCCTTACAGTTAAGTTAGGATGCTTGTTCAGAACTAATGTTCCATCTCCATTTACTGCCTCATTCTTGTTTAATGCTTCAAGACTGATCACTTCAACTTCTAATTTATCAGCTCTAAGAATTAATTTTTCTATTTTTCTATTAATACCATCTGCTGCAAATGGCAAGACTACTGAAACCAAAGCGAGGGATAACCTATGTTTAGTGCACGTAGCCATTTAGATAGTATGAAGTTTCAAAAAACTTGGAGTAGATCCACATGATTTTCTTCTAAAAAGAATCTCTGTTTATGTATAATTGCACTTTCTTGCTTTATGCTCATTTGCTATTGTCACTTTTAGGGCTGGGCATAAACACCGAAAAACCGAAATACTGAACCGAACCGAAGAATTTTGGTATTTCGGTTTCGGTATTTCGGTTTTTGGTTCGGTATTCGATATGAGTTTTTGTATTTTTCGGTATTTCGGTTCGGTTTTCGGTATGAATTTTTGTATTTTTCGGTATTTCGGTTTACCGAAATATATTATATTATATTTATAATATTATTAATATTATATTAATTAGTAATATTAAATAATAAAAATATAGACAAAATTAGGTCAAACTTCACTTTTCAGCTTTTAGCCTTTTACTTTCCAAACTTTTTTTTCAGATTTTTGTTTTCAATCTTTTCTTAGCAGTTAGCCGCACATCAGTCACTTTATTTTCCCACTTTCCAGTTCCACTTCCCACTTCCGGCGACTGGCCGATCAGCAAAAAGCCAACGACGACCGACCGACCAGCACGCAGCAGGCCAACACGCAAGCGACACCCAGTAGGCAGGCAGCACGCAGCACTGCAGCAGCCGACCAGCAGCACGCAGCAGCCACCGGCGACCACCAGCGACCGACCAGCAACAACCAGCCACCGAACTAACAAAAACCGAATCGAAATAATATAAACCGAAATAATAAAAACCGAACCGAACCGAATTATTTCGGTTCGGTGTTCGGTACACATGATACAAGAACCGAAAACCGAAAAAACCGAAAAAAAAAACCGAAACCGAACCGAAATACCGAATGTCCAGCCCTAGTCACTTTTATTGTTGTTGTTGTTCCATCAGAAAGTTAGATTTATGCAGTTCTACTGATAAAAAATGTGCCTTTTAAGTTCTTGGTGATTATTTGTTCAGATTTGAATAGGTCAACAAGAGCCTTCGAAAAGAAACAAAAGAGCAAAAAAAGAACTTCTCTAGACCTGGATCATTATCATTCTTAGCAAATAAAAAACGACGATTATTGACAACAAATGAAATTGTTCAAGCTATAGAGTCAGAGAAAGGACATCTTCTAAAATTAATTGAAGAACAAGGTATGAAATTGCCCATTTGATATATTTGATTGGAGGAATATGGACACTAAAAAGGATTTATGGGATTACGCCAAGGTCTGAAATTTTCAATAATTAAATATATGTCAAAGTATTTTGCATCTGTTGGTTAATTGAATGACATGAAAGTATAGGAGAAATATATTATTCCTGAAGTTGCGAAAAAATGGACTTTGGTAACAATTCAGGAAGCTTGGAGAAGGCATAGAAGTGATTTGAAGATCAATTATTATGACCCGTATGACAATGATGAAGTTCGAATGGCAAAAAAGCCCGGTCATATTCCAGAATGTCAGTTTAGAGAGCTCCTCAAATATTGGAAGTCTGAGAAATTCAAGGTAATTAAAATGTATTTCAGAGTCTGAAGCTGACAACTTTTTTATTTTTCTATTCTCTTCTGTGATAGTGTTGTTGTAGCTTGATTTTTTCAAGGTGATATTTGAGCGTGCGACTCTAAAGTAACCTAATTTTTCTATTATCTTTCGTTGAAGCCATATGCGATTCACATAGAAGTAGAGAGATGATGTGTATGGATCAATATGTATCCTCCACTGATGTTCATTGAGTGGGATTGTTATGTCTAGCTCATTGTTAAGTCGAGAAGAATAATCAATTGTATCACCTAAGTAAATTTCTTGTACTTTATCAATTACTAAGACTGAATTTTGAGTCTTCCAATAAGATACATTCTATAAACAAGAAGCAACTTGAATGGAGGATTGCCAGAAATGCATTTGTGCAGACTTTTAGCTAGAGTCTAAACACTAGTATAACATTCAAATTTTACCTTTTGGTATTACTTAGAAAATAAGGAACATTGTCCTTGTCTAGAATATTCGGTAGCACCATAAGCTCTGAGTTTACATTATTCATTTATTTATTTTTTGCAGAAAATGTCTGAGACAAATACTAAGAATTGAAAAAAGCTGATGAACCCACACACCGCTGGCAAAAAGAGTTTTGCTTTAGTGCATAACAAATTGGTGTGTTCTCTTATTTATTATTGATTCTTGACTTGTTATTTAAGCAGTTTTTGGAATTTAATTATTTTTGTGTGACTAGGAAAAAGAAAAGGAAATTGTATCAGCTAAGGAGATCTTTGTGGTCACAAGAACAAGGAAACCTGGGTGTTTGTACAAGACCTCGAATAAAAACACAACTAGTAAAATTGTATCAATGTTGTCTATTTAAGAGTATTTATTGAGATCAATTATGTGTTCTAAATTTTAATTTACATGGGTAATTGTTGGATATGCTTTGTTAGGTTGAAATGGAAGCGATTGAAACACAAATGGACACAAATGATCAATCTGTTGATGCATTTTCAGCCGTCATGGGTCCTGAACATCTGGGACGTCTAAGACTATATGGAGTGGGGGTTACAAAGACTATATTGAAAAGAAAAGCTGGAAATTCTGACCATTTTTTAAATGCCACAGATGATGTAGTGCAACAAATGCAAGAAAGAATGCAAAAAATGGAGAAACAAATGGAGGAACAAAAGAAATTAAACTATGCGACAAGAAGCTCTAACAGATGTAATTGCACAACTTCAGAATGCAGGATTAATTGATCATAACATACTAGCTGCATTGTTCGTTCCTCCTCCAAGAGAAGCTAGTACTTCTGCACAAGCGGCTGATCAAGGTTAGATTAACTAATTTTCTTTTTCAACTTCTTCATCTTCTTCTTGTTTGTCTTCATCATTCATTACAAGTGAGTTTAAATACTCTATTTTCTTTAAGTTTTACAATGTCAAGTTACCACAAAATGGTGTGAAATTTATTGCTACTTGGTAGGATATAAGGAAATAATTAACTAATTTTATGAATTTTATTTTTGTGAAACTTGATGGAAGAAAGTTGAGATCTATGCAATAATGACTTGAGTGTAATGGTCATTTTTTTTTATATTTGTGATGTTGATCTTACGTTTGACATCCCTATATCTAGGCTCTTGTTGGTTAAGTACTTCATGATATTAGTGATTCTTTGAGTGATTTAATGGTTACCTTATTCGATGTTACTACTTATTCACCTTGGAGTGGTCTACGAAGATGGTAGAATGTCTTCTTGTAGTTAACTATTGTATGTGCTGCACCTTGTAGAACCTATTTAGCATATTATTTCCTTCAAGAAATAGTTAAATTCATTGAGTACAAGTTTACTGTTCAAATGACAATCTGCAAAGGAACAACCATTGTGAATGCATGACTATCAACTTTCACATCTTCCACTATCATAACTTAATGTAAGCATTGCTAAACTGCTTTGTGTTTTATTGTAGGTGATGAAATAGAAGGAGATGACAGGAGTACTAAAGAATTGACCTAGGAATTGACTGGATTGATGTTAATTAACTTTAATCATCTATGTTCTATAAATATTTTGATTTTGATGAAGATTGAAAACTGTGGTGTGTTTCACCCTTTTTGAACAGACAAAAATTATTTGTATATTTTGCTATTATTGATATTACTAACCTCTTTGATCTCTGATTGAAATCTTGGTAATGAATAGTTTCTTCTCATGATCGAATTGTGGATTTTATGTCCTATTTTATTATTGTAATAGCTTTATAATATTAGTGGCAGTAGATCAATAGTATCTGTAGGAAAAGCCTAATAATAAATGTAGCAATAGCCTAATATTAATTGTGGCAATAGCCAAATAATGATTGCATTATCCTATAATAACCGTAGCAATAGCCCTAGAATAATAGTCGTAGTAGTTTAGAACTGTGGCATTATAATATAAAAACTGTTGCAATTGACTAAAATGGTGAGAAAATTGTAGCCATAACATGAAAATAATTGTTGCATAAACATTTATTGCAAAGGTTAAACACCGTCCCAATAGATTATTGACCGTCGACAAATACTTAAAGTGTAAACCGACGGAATAGGGGCTGCTATTGCTACGATTATTTGAACTGTCGGAATTAATCGTTGCAGCAGACCTATTGCTACGCGATCTGTTGTAGCGGTTGCCTAAACCGTGGTGTTAGAGGTACTGCAACGGTGTAGCAGCCTATTGCCACGGTAACTGAACTGTTGCACTAGATCAAATTTCTAGTAGTGGTTCCATGAGAGGACCCTGTAATTGCTTTGTGAGCATAGAGAACATGTTACAGGCATTGGTTGATTTCAGGTATTAGTTGATTTCATGATATTGTGACTAGGAGTCTATGTATTCGTGATTGTTGTTACATGTGGTTGACATATGGTTATGGTATTGCGGGTTGTGCATATAAATAAAAGGTGAGGACTGAGAGTCTGGGTTATATTTACTTGTGATGGCTGAGGTATACTAAGGGCCCGTTTGGCCATGTGATATGATATCATGATATGGAATTATGATATGGTATCATGATATGGAATCATGAGATGAAATTGAAGGTTTGTTTGGACATGCGATATGTAATTTTTGTGTTGTATATTTTCTCATAAACATAAAAATCCCATAAGTTGTAAAACTATTAAAATAGCCCCAATTGTTTATTCAATCTTATCAAATAAACAAAAAATTATAAAATTGCACAATAAATTATTGCAAAGTTATTTGTTTTCCACTTAAGTAATTGTTTCATCTAACTTTAATTTAATAAAAAAATTGAACATAAATTGTAGTGTACTAGTCTTTAATATAATCCTCCCACATAGTATGAACAATTTCCTCACGTTAAACTTGCATTTCTCGATCATGTGACCGAGAAGACGAACCGACATTTTTACTTTGAGCCATTTGTTGGTCAATATCCTCTGCAACTATATCTTCATGTTCATAGACCATAAATATTTTATCACTACTTTGGTATTCTCGCAAATAATTATGTAACACTGCACAAGCTATGACAATTTTCACTTGTGTATCAATATCATAATGGTTCATGCGTTGTTTCAGTATTCTAAATCTATTTTTCCAAGCTCCAAAAGTCCGTTCAATCACATTGCGCAGAGATGAATGCCTATAATTAAATAGTTCTTTGGCATTTTGAGGCTCTCTTTCACTTCCTCGGTAATCTTGCAAATGATAGCGTAGTCCTTTGTATGGAGCTAAAAATCCTTTTGTGTTTCGGAAACCAGCATCAACAACATAATATTTATCTACCAAAAAACATTTTATAAAGAATTACTAAAAGCATATGTGACGTAAATGAGACAACTTTGTGTAAATAAATAATATTTATTCTAAGGATGTAATTTAAAGTTACCATGTGGCGGAAATGGAAATTGTGACGTTGGTTCAACAAGTGCATTCTCAAGTACTTTACTATCATGTGCAGTAGCTTCCCAACCAGCAACAACAAAGGTAAATCGCATATCAAAATCACAAGCACAAAAGACATTTTGTGATGTTCTTCCTTTGCGATTACGATATGCTTGTTGCACCGCTTTAGGAACCTCCCCTTCTATATATGTTCCATCAACCGCACCAACACAATCCTACCAAATAAAAAAATACATCAATATTAGTTTAGTGAACATAAAATAAATTGGAAGCATTATAGAATGCACTTCATAAAAATAATGTTTGTAAGAGTAATAAAAATAGTGCTTCCAAGACAATGCAAAGTCATAAAAAAAATATTATCTCTTTAAACAAAGTTGATAGGAAATATGTAACTAAATACTAATAACTTACACATAAAATATAAATGTTCACTTATTAAGGCCATAAAATAAAATTATTAATGTGATTGAAATTTTACCTTAAACCAAGGCCAAAATTGAGTATTATGTCGAATTTTGGAATGTACACCAGTCATATTTTTTGGTTGTATAAATGTTGGTGCCATCTTGCTAATTGCCTCGGCAACTATTTTAACATGCCGGTTAATTGTTTCAAGTGAATGTTGAAAAGTTTCACAATCGTGAGGTGTGAGTTAAAGTGACTATATGTTGGTGAGAATAATAAATTTTATGTTGGTGAGAATAATAAATTTTAAAATGCAATGATGTGATTATAAATTTATTTACATAGGAAACAAATGGTTAGTAGATATAAATGTGGGGTTCTTTTAACAAAATATAAACTCATGGATCAATTATTGTATTAAAATATCTCAAATCATGATATGGAATCACCATATAATTCCATATCATGATTTTTGGAGAATATGGTATCACCTCTCATGATATGGAATCATGAGATGGAATCAGCATAAAATCGCATGTCCAAAAGCTGATTCCATCTCACGATACCATATCGTGATATGGTATCGCATGGCCAAACGCCTACTAAGTGTTTATTGACAATTAAGTCTTTAGGGTTATTCTGCATAATTGTTTTAACTATTGGGTTGAGTTTATAAGGACTTAATTCTTTAATGGTTTCTAAACTCTGTTTCTAATTGTCATGATGGGGTTGGTTTAATGAAATGGTGGTTGTTAAGTTAGACAGATGACCGGGGGTTTGGTGTATGGTTAAGTGTTGTGATTGCTCATGGTTGTCAGTTAATGGTCATCCATAATGCAAGTAGGTTGTCATGGACTTTATTAAATGAGTGATGAATGTTTAATGGTTGTTATGATGTTTATTGTATTGTTTGAATAACTGTCTATGTGTGAATTATACTTTGCCTGAATGTTTGCATATGTAGGAAGTGTGATTACTTGTATTTCTATGATGTTGTAGATAAGAAAAAGTCGTGACTCGGTTATGTGTCATGAATTAATGTTTGTGTAATGTGTCATGAATTATGTGTCCAGTCTTAAATTTAATGGCCATGAGGAAATGTTTGTATTATAATGTCTAGGTATGATCTTGGGATTATTTTAAAACTGCATGGTCTTACCGTTGGTAAGAATGGTAGGAGAACTTAATGATTTATGATTGTGGAGAAACTCCCGTTTCAGGATATCCGGGATTTGGTAAGGAACAATGGGGAAAAATAAGTTATTGTTGCATAATAGCGAGATTTGTTGTTATGAAAGGTTTTCTTATAGTGTTTAATAACTAGTTTTTAAATAATGTGATGTTGAGTTCTTGTCTATGCATTGCTAGGTTTGATCCTGGAATTGTATTAAAGACTAGTGGTGAAAGAAATCAGACTTAAGTAGAATTTTATATCAAAACTTAATTGGTAAAGGAGATTCCAACTCAACTTTGTGCTCTAGGGATTCTTGTGACCTTAATTCATATCCAAATCCATTATGACACTAAAGAATTGACCTTAATACCTAAGAACAATTTAAGAATCACCCGATACAATCTTATACGGAAATGAAGAATGATTTGAATCTTAGCTTAGAATTATTTGGAGTGTTACAGGAAAAACCATTGATATCACCGCAAAGCTTTCCCATCGAGATAGCACAACGCGAGAGATAACTTGTGGTTTTCTGTAATCTCATAGAACTCAAAGTAGCGTTCAGCCTGAGAAATCCATAACTCTTGATTCTCGCCACAAAATTGTTGAAATTCCACCATGGTAGGTTCACTCGTTGGAAGTTTTCCAACCAACTCATGTAACATTGAATTAATTTCAGTGAGATCCTTCGATCAAGTATCCTTCAAGACCTTAATTGAATCTTTGATTTTTCGAGATATTTGGTCCTCCATTGAAGACCTCTGAATGAAAGCATCAATGAAACAAACCAAATTCTCAAATTATTATATAATCATTTTTAGCCAAATTACAACGACAACACTTAAGCTATGGAATTACCATGGAAAATACTGAAATAAAAAGTAAGTACAGATAGAGATAAAAATAGGATGAGAAGCTTAGATCGTAGAAAAGAGATGAGAGAATCCGATAGTTTCTTCACGATATGAATAATTCTCCAAAACCGCAGACGACAACCATTTAAACTCTACTCAACTTGCATCAAGCAAAATCAATATTGGGTTGTCTAATTCTTGGGCCTCTTTGTGGTTTAGCCTCAGGCCCAACAACTTGGCTAGCCGTGTTCACAACATTTATTATTCCAATTATGATTGTGTGACATTATGTAACGACAAAGAACATAACAATATATCCAAATATTGTATTTATTAAAATAATATAGCACGATACAATACAAACCGCTATGAAACAATAGGTAACAGCAATCCAAACAAAGTGTTAGACATTATCATGAAGTCTTTGCCTTTAGAATGTAGCTAGTCCCTCTTCTCAGGTCTTTCCAATTAACTCTCCTTTATATGTATGAAAAAGTTTTACTCAATTACATATACTCCAAAATCATGCTGCTCAAGCAAATTTCTTTACTTTTTTCCTTTTCAATGTCTGCGGTAATCTTGAGATTAGCCACAGCCCAAATCACTAGTAATTCTCCTTCCAACACCACCACAGCAATCACCAAAGCTGCTAACATCACAAAACCAGG